CCAGGAGAATTAACTGGCTTGTCTTCTCCTTCTGGCTAGAATGTCACCTGCTCAGGGCATTCAGCCACTCTCCTGTTTTAACGAGGATAGAAAAGGGGACTAGAAATTGGAGAGTGTCAGACATTTCAGAAGGAAGGTGTGCGCTTGGAGAGATGCTTCAGTGTGCACACTGTGTGCTCTGAACTGCTGAACCATAGCATGGATAACTTGCTTAGAGAGGAAGACAAGGAGAGAATTGCAAGAGTACAGAAGACAACGTTTGGCCACGTGAGCTCTCAGCAGGAGCCCTCAGCAGGAGCCCTCAGACTCCTCCCCGCACACACGAACACACCAGCACCATCTTTGCTTTCCTCCAGTGCCTGAATTTTAATGCTAACTCACGCAATTAGTATTTATTAAGTGCAACTCTGCAGTAGACTGTTTTAGACAATGAGATACAACCCAATACAACAGATTTAATTTGAAAGTTCTTTGTGGAAAACGGAGCTTCAATATTTCTAACATTATTTAATCTCAGTAAATCTAATCTCTTCTAAACATTTTCAGACTTCTTATTAAGCTACTTCTGACTTCTGTAATTTACTAAAAAATTCATTAAAGAGTTCATTAATTTTTCACTAATCTATAAACCCCATCACTGCAGTTTTTATTAGCTAAGATATAATTAAGTAGGTTTGACTTTTTAATTTTAGGAACAAGTCATTTACCTACACTATCAACAGTTTTATTATAATTACTTTTTTACTCCAGCAGATTTCTTTCTCCATCAGGCCCATAATTAGAATTCCACACTTACTGTCTCGTAGTTACGGTGCATTTACATCTGTCTTTTGTTACTCTTTGTCTTAAACACTGAATAACTTGTAATCTTAACTGTTTTAAGTAAATCAATAGCAATATTACACACAAAATCCCACACGTGTGATTAAATATAGACACGCCCACTAGAAAACCTTTGATCTTCATTCCTGACTTTCATGTCTTATGGAGATGGTTCCGCATGGCCACAGGTTATTCATCTGGGAGCAACTCTAGACGGCAAGTATTAGGAGGGTCAGTACTGAACACGTACAAACGTTTTTGCCACTGCTCACTGAAGTATACGTGCAAGTAATTTACACAGTATTTACATTGCATTAGGTGGTATAAATACCACAGGGGTCACTTAATGTACACAAAAACACGTTGCATGTTGTATACAAATGGCACAGTATTTGATACAATGAAGGCGAGCAGATTTGGGTATCTCCGGGGACCTGGGCCCCAATCCTTCTTGGATACTGAGGTCATCATGTACCCTTCGCCTATCAACTTACTTCATGTCATGACATATACGTTGAATGCTGATTCTTGCCAAGCGGAAATAGTGGTGCAGGAGTGTATTTCTCTCAAACAAACATGCATTCACCGAACAGAGGTAGCAGTAGCCCTGTCAGTATGGTCTTTCTGAGATTTGGTTTCTGTAAGAAGTTAGAGATCAGGAATATAAAATGACAAACTATATGGTTCTGAAGGAAAGTTCTAGACTGTCTATTCTTTTCCTATGAGGATGCAACATGTTTTAAAAATAAATAAGTAAAATGGAGTCAAGAAAGCTTTGCTGAAGCTAAAAATTCAGTCATCAAAATAATTTTTATCAATTTAGGCTTCAATTCATCCACTACCCAAGACATTTTTATTCTGGGGCTCAAACAGTCTAAAAAGCTTAAATGGCAATTTCTCACCTTGTTTTTATTTTTTTCCTTCTCTTGTTTGCAGTATTATCCTGAGTATTTGCAGACAGTCTTTATGTGAAATGTTAACTATCATTTTAGTCGTTACTTTTCTTTACAAAATAAATTTTTTTAACAAAATGTACTCAATTAAAAAGCTAAAGCTCACATGAAGTCCAGAGAAACTGTTTCTGGAAGAGCTGGGTTGTACATGGAAATTAGACTGTAAAAGTTGTGATCAATGGGGGAAAAGGGAGACCATTTGAAAAATACTTTAGGGCGATGCTCATTTGAACTGTAGCATGAATTTAATGTGTGAGGTGCCCACGAGTGGCTAATATAAATGCTCATGCCATTCAGTGTTTTTTCACCTTCCACCACTTACGGCATTATTCAGAGATTACAAGATATAGCAACAAATAAAAGCTAAAGATGCGACTTAACATAGAGTAGACAGCAACCAAAAAACCCACATATTACACAGAGAAGCATGTTCTGCCAGATACACCAAAACTTCACACTATAAATTTACATAAAACCTAAAAAATTATTTTACCTAAAAAACCCTTCAAATAGTTTGTATAATGGATGTGAACAAAAAATAGATCTTTGAAGCATCCAAGATTATTAGCATTTTTAAGCCTTCCGAGTTTAAATGATCAGTCACGCATCTGACAGTTGAAAGGGGAACTCCAAAGGCTCTGAAACACGCTGTATCACATTGGGAGTGGACACGGTCCTCACTGCAGAGAGGACCCAGGGACGTTCTCCTAAAGAACCCCTGGGAGTTGAGCCGTCATGTCTCCTGCACTTGGGAAGGAGGCCCAGGTGACTGTACCGCAGTGTGGGGTGCTCTGTGACCACAGATGCTGGGGATCCCGGGGGAGGCCCCCAGAGTCCCCAGAACCAGGGGGACCACTGACACTCAGGGACATGCCATTGTTTTCCCTGTAGAGGAACGGATAGGCCTGGACACCGCTCATGGAATCCATACAGAGTACGAGGTTAGAAAGCCTTGCCTGAGCAGGAAACCCAGAGGAGAAGGAGCAACATGCAGACGCAGAGTACCCAAAGTCCTTCTGCCCCATCAAAGGCCTGAGCCAAACTTCACAGCCAGGATATCAGCGCAAGGTGGTAGCACCAACTGCAAGAGCAATCGACAATTCCTAGGGCAGGTCGGCCATGACTATCCTGGCTTGAATTCTCACGCAAGAAGAAATGCCATTTGGAATGGCACTGCTGACCACGGATGTTAGCCCGTCCCCCAGCCATGGACGCTCACTGCCTCATCCATCCCGTTCCCGGAGCGGCCTGGGCACACTCTCCTTATCCCTGTGGCTCCTTCCAGCCAAAAGCCTCTGTGGTCCCAATTAGAGACTTCCCTGTGAATACGCTCACAAAGCTCACAAACAGAAGAGCCCTTTAGTACTTTAGAGTAGCTTGGAAATATTTTTTTCAATTAAAAGTTAAATAGAAACTGGAGTGTAAATGGCTCGTATCTATATATACTGTATCTGGTCTGTCAAAAAACATGAGTTTTTAAAAAATACAAACTTACAGGGGCTGGGGATTTAGCTCAGTGGTGTAAGTGCCAGCCTTGCAAGCATGAAGTCGTGAGTTCGATCCCCAGTACCAAAAAAAAAAAACCTTACCAACAAAAAGTAAAGTGTAAACAAGTCCACACTGCAAAATTTACAGATGTTCTCAGTTCTTCTATAAAAAATCTAAACAGAATGTATTGTGAGCCAAACATTTGAGGTCCTCTAAATTCAGTAGTTGACTCTCTCATTCCCTAAGTGGCCATCCTGGGAGATGGAACCTTTAAGAATGTGGCTAAGGTTAAATCTCAGGGGTGGGGCTCCGATCCTATAAGGTTAGTGTCCTCATAGGGAGAGTCATCAGAGACCTTGAGCTATGTCACTCCCTGACTTCATGAGTACTTCATGGAAAGGCTCATGTGAGAAGATGCCATCTGCAAACCAGAAAGACCACCTGGTCCAAGAACACTGCCCAGGTGACCCTTGGTCTGAGACGTGAGCCTCCAGAATGGTGGAAAAATAAGAGTTTCTTAGTGATGCCTTGTGGTCCACAGGGCTTTGTGGTAGCATCTGAGAAGACCAACATAGCATAAATATCGAAAGAGGGCTGGACGCCTCCTGCTGGGCTGCACGTGTTGGAGAGAGTGAGAGCTGCCAGGTGGGAAGAGACCGAGATCTTCTAAGAGGGAAGGAAGGCTGTGCAGTGATGCGGACAGAGTGTAAATCATAATGTGGGACCAGTAAGCTCAGGAACCCACAATACCTGTCAGGCACAGACAGAGAGTTAATACAATAAGCAACAGCTTCCTTTTCTGTTTAATCAGATTCTAAATCAAGCTTCTAGTAAGCTCAGGAGACTTTCCCTAGGGACTAAAAGAGTGTCCTTTTAACAAGCATTGTGAATTAGATCAAAAAAATAAAAAATAAAAAAAGCTCAAAACCCAATCAAGTCAACCAAGTGGCCCTGAAAGACTAGGGCAAGGGAGACACACAGAGAGGAGAAACCTCTCCTCACCAAGCCAGATTGCCCAAAAACAAACAAAACAGAGGTTTCTCTCAGACCCTCAGAGGGAAATAAAAAACCTAGCCACACTTCCATGAAAAGGTAAGAAGATTCCCAAGAGTGAAATCTGTGCAGAGTATCTTGAAGAGCCACCCCAAAAGGACCCTGCAAGGAGGGCAGGCCCTGATTTTGTGTGTAGAACTGTAGTGGTCATTTGGTCATTTTGCTGTTGCTGGAGATGGTACCCAACACCCACAATTTAAAGGAGAGAAGAGGTGTAACTTGGCTTACAGCTTCAGGGGGTCTGGTTCGTGACCAGTTGGCCTCAAGACAGAAACGTTATGGTGGAAGGCATGGGGAGGAAAGGTTTGTTAGTATACAGTGGCAGGGAAGCACACCAGGGGGACAGTGCAGGAAGGAAGAGACAAGGACCCAGATAGAGTCCCCACAGGTCCACCACTTGCCCAGACACCCTCAGGAGAGTGCTGCACTCCTGCCCTGGGTGGTTCCCACAGCAATCGAGGTGACACGATGGATCATAACCACCCCACGCACCTTCACCTAGAATATAGGTCTGATGCAGACACGAGATCATCGGAGAAAGGGAAAAGACAATTAGATGAGACACCCTCCACATTCTGGGGGGATTCCAGCAAAAAGAAGGGCTTTGACCTCTCTGGTCACTACTGACTCTAAGCCTACCACCCATGCGAGAGAAGTTTGCAAAGAATACCTTGTTAACCGCCACCAGTTGCAGCTAAGGTTTATTAGAATCCTGCTCTGCAGGAAGTGAAGCAGGACATCAATGTCTCTTTTACTGCAAGGTAAACAGGCACTTTGAAAACCAATATTAGAGCTGTTAAGCAGCTAATAAGTAAACACTGCATTGAACTAAGTGCTACTTCATTAAAAATGCTCACAGTCCCACAAAATGCACCATTAATCTCTGTTCGTTCATCGTGCCAATGCGACGTGTCTTGCTGGTGAATTCCCCGTTGTGCAGGTTTTTCTTTTAAGGCAGTAGCTCACTGGAAGAGTGTGGGCTTTAATTGGATGATGGCTTGGAGGTCTGTAGCCTCCCGGAGGTTAAGTAATGTAGCATGGAGCCCGCGCTATGCACAGGGAATGTTTTAATACACTGGTGTCACCACAGCTGTGTGATCCCGGGCAGACAGGTGGCCCTGAAGAAGCAGTCTATCGTCTCTAATGCCTGAGTTCAGCAGTTTTAATTCCCACCTCTGTGTGATGTTTGACAGTTCATTCATTTAGAGAGCTGCGGCGAGGCACAGGTGGCTGGAGTTCAGATGGTTATTTTAAGGATGTGTCGCTTCTGTTTATTTTTTAATGCTAAGGAGGACACAGCAAGTGAGTTGAAGGGAGACCTTTTGCACACACGAGGAGCTGTTCCTTCAGGAGGGAGAATGTCCCGACATTTCAGGACTCCGGACTTCGGGAGGGGCCAGGCTTCCAGAAGACTGAAATATTGATGGGTGGCGAAGTGCAAGAATCCTCCCAGAGTCCCTGCTCCAAGCACTGTCTTAAAGCACCTGCAGATGGAAAGTAGGCATCCAGGAGACCCCTAAAGCTTACTGTTATTTGTGGAAGCATCTGGAGTAGTCTTTGTCCTGGCTGGGAAAGGAATTTATGAACTTCCGTCTTGACTTGAATGCAAAGTTACACCAGAAATCAAAGCGAGCACGGTTCACAGGGACTCAGCTTTTCATACCAGAAGACAATGGAGAGGAACTAGGTGTTTGCACAATAACCTGAGGTGTTCACCCAGCAGCTCGGGGGGTCCTCAGCCAGCCTTGGGGATAAGGGTGCAGACTGAAGAGGGAGAAAGAGAGATGGGGGGCCAAGCCCTTTGAGGGGGAGAGAGAAACCCAGAAGACCTAAGGTCAGGGGTTAGTGAGGAGGTCCAGAAGCAAATGGCATCACAGTAGCACTCAAGGAGCAATCTGTCTTTTCAGATGCAGCTCAGAGAAGTTTTTACATGTTAATAGCATTTCTATCACAAAACCCAGTGAAATTGCTAATATAAAAAGAACATTACCAAGAATAAACTAGCAGCACCTAAAGTATTATTTATTATGCTCCAAACTAACATTTTCTACTTCAAAGGAAAATCACTCATTTTTTTATCATCTTTAAATTGCATAAGGCAGCTTTTTAAAATGTGTAGAAATTGCATCGAGCGCCTTTGTAACATAACAACATCACCTATCCTTCACGGAATCAGATCTTGAAGCCCTAACAACTCATGATCAGATGCAAAACAGTATTTTGTAAGCTAAGCAGCTCCCACCATTTTTCTCCTCTCAGATTTATGCTCTTTTCTCTGTGTCACTACTTTCCTTGAGCTCTTCACCTAAACCCTCACTATAGAGCCATCACGTCCACACAAAAGTAGTCGGTCAAAGCCCATTGGTAGCCCCTTTCCTTATTCTGTCTCTGAGTGTCCCCCCCTCACCCCGTGCCTGGCCAGCCTCACCCTGAGGTTCCCACCCCGGAGCTCGGGAAGTGACCGGGAGGCTGTGTGGGAAATGCTTCCTCTCCGTGGGAGCAGCGAGTGTGTGGGGGTCCCCCCAACACACACTTCTTCCACACCCTGTGAGAACCACAGCTCGTGTGTTTCACACACACGCAGCGCACAGCACAGCTAATGATCTTTCTCCGGAGTCGTTTCTTTTCCATGCCTCTTTTTAGAAGCTCGCAGTCATTTTCAGTTGCCATTTTAGTCAAACTGAGCTAAATAATCCTTTTGATTTCTAAAAAGGAATTTCTCAAATGCACAATACTGAGTCACTCCAGGAGTATTTTAAGCCAGACTTATTAGTATTTCTCAAGATTTTTTAAGTTTTCCTGGCAAATCAATGCACTATCATTGAAGGTTTAGATATTTAACTAGACACAAGTATAAATGTTATGTGATTCCCTTTTTTAATTTAAGATGTTATGATGAAATGTTCACTTTTCTTGATACAGAAGACATTTCCAGAAAACTAGAGATTTCTTTGAATGAGTAATTAAGCTTTTCAAAGACTTCCGGATTGAATCATAAACTGTCATTTCTAACTGTCACTTTGCTCTGACACTTCTACATTAGCAAATTGTATTTCTGGGGGGGAAAGTTAGCATTTCGGAATGACGTTTACTTACTACACATGCACAGTTCTACCTAAGGCTTGGTCTAATCTTTGATGCACAATGCTTAATAATCTTCAGAAGAAAATATAAACACTTAAAATTTAGTAATAATTCACAAAGTAAATTTTGCATTAGAAGCCTACATTTATTGCTAATAATATTTTTTAATTTTATTTTGAAAATGGTAAAATACACAGAACAAGACAGAATAAAGCCAACTAAGATCGTACAGTGAAATTGATACAGAACTTCACAGCAGGTTACTGGGATAACAGTAATAGGTATCACTGTATATTTCATTATCTTTATAACAGTCATTCTTTCAATCACATATATCAAAATGAGATGAAATACAGAACATTATGGAACTTATCAAAACAGAATATTGAATAGAGCAGTACCATTAATCAGAATAGAGCAAAACAGTAATAAAAATATTTGCCTTCAAAGAGACAGTAGAAGGAAGTCTCCCTTATTTGCTATGGCCAACCTCCCAGGAGACGCTCAGATTTCTGGTTCCCATTTGCTAATGGTGGGCACAGGAGAAGGGGGGTAGGGGAAGTGGGATGTTTGACTGTAGGCCGTGCACCAGTAGCTTCACTGTTGCTTAGCAAGGAGGCAGGCTGGTTGCTTGGTTTCATAGCGTCCTAAGTTCCAACATGGCGGGGATCTCAGGAGCTGCTGGTGATTCTCCCCCTGGAAGGGCTGCAGTCTGCCACCCCACCACTGCTTACCAGGGAGGAGCTAATAATGTTTTTAAACTTTGAAGCCAACTTTAGTCAAATATGGAAAAATGTTTTACGCATTTGCTGGGTTTCCTCCTCCCTTGGCAAAACCAGAGAGGAAAATGAGACAGGAGCAGGAGGATTTCCCTGGATGAAATGTCTCTATCAAGGTGATATTTACAGGATGCAAATTTCTGTTTGTTTGTTTCTGTCTGTGGCTTGTTCCCATAACCTACTAAAAAAACAATCACTCTAAATTCAGAAGCTTAAAATCTCAAAAGCCATGTGTTTTGCCTAGAAATATGAACTGTGAAGCATCTTATATCCACTTCTTGGGCCAGTGGGTGTTCACAAGTAGATTTGGGCTACCCTCACTGGAGCTGACTGGGCTGACAGCCACGCACACACTTAGTGTTTGGTGACTACAGATGGAGAGGCAGAAGCTTGGTGGCAGCCGCTGGTCCAAACTTCCTGAGGCTCCTCCCAGCTAGAGGGCTGATTCCTGGCTTTGGCCACCCCAGGAGCGCAGTGTGCAAGGTATGCCCTGGCTCCAACGATGCAGAAGCCTCACTTGTCAGCAATGCATTAGACACATCATGCACAAAAGCTTCACAGCTCAGAGGGAAAGGCATGGAACCTACCAGCTGAGAGAGAGTTGGCAGTTGCACAGCCTGAAATCGCCATGAAAGAGAGGGTCTGTTGTGGAAGTCATCTTTGGAAGAAAACAATCTGTAAGGTGCTGTAGTCAGGGTTTACATGGGAAAAGATTTAAGAGAGGACACATAATTTATAGCATTATTTTTATAATATGCACTCAAAGAGTCAAAAGCAAGGGGCTGGGGATTTAGCTCAGTGGCATAAGCGCCTGCCTTAAAAGCAGGCAGTTGTGAGTTCGATCTCCGGTACCTGTAAAAACAAAAAAGACAAAAAAAAAAAAAAAAAAAAAAAAAAAAAAGAGTCAAAAGCAAAAGAGTGCAAGATATCTGCCTGGGCTCTGGAGATCCAAAGAATCCAGCTGAGGGTCTGAATCCCACCACAGTGTCCTCCATGAGTCCAGCTGGAACCCTAGAGCCCACGACCATGTCTCTTGCAAGTTTGTACCAAGGATCTGCACTAGGAAGGCCCCAGTGTCAGCAGTGAAAGCTAGAAAGTGTGCCAGAGGGATGAAGGATCGATCTGCACCCACCAGCAGATCTGAGGGATCTGCACTGGAGCCAGGAAGTGACACTCAAGATACAGATCAGAGCTCCACCGAAGTGAACCACAGCCATCCTCAGCAACAGCGAGGACCTGGGCTCCTCCAATAATGAGAACAACCAAGTTCATATCAGGAAAACCAGCATCACAAGCTTCTCCAGGAGAACCAACAGCTCACCAGCTTCCCCCACCCCCCAGCTCTTTGCTCGCTGTCAGCATCGATGCTCAGGTGGGCCTTCCACACCCAGCATGATGCTGAAGCGGTCCAGCTGGGTTCCAAGCTGACCATCAGTTAATGTACCACATACAGATATCAGTAATCCCAGAAGTAGCTCTCTTATAAAAGGTGTTCACAGATCTACCTAAAATATTTCCACAACAGCTGTTCTTGCTAAATATTTTCTCCTCAGGAAGAACTTTTATGACTTTGATGGATGCATGATATGAACTACATCTAGGTTGAACATCACTCGGAAAAGCCTCACTTCTGATGAGAAGTACACACAAAGTCCTGTTGTTTCGTGCTCTCAAGGGCTCAGGACTGGCCGCTGGGCTGCTGAATCATTGCTTTTTTGGATAACCAGAACAACACTCTGGTTCACTCAGAAGAGAGTCATTTTGGGCCTACAGTATTCCATTTGTCCTTGCCCAGCCTGACCCTGCATCTTCACACAGGACGGGGCTCCTTTCCCCTCTTCTCTGGCCTCCTGTTTGCTCCCAAGTTTAATCACTGGGGCTGCCCATCTGTCAGCCCATTTCATGCCTTCACCATCAAGCCCCACACCCCTGCTTCAGCCACCGACAGGGGTCTCACACTCTGTGTGTTTCAAAGCAATACAAGGCAGGACAGCCTTAGGGATGTCTTGGGTGTGAGCCTCACTTCTCCATGGGCCTCGGGCCGTATCTACTTCCTCCTCTCCAGGCAGCTGGCTTCTATGGCTGCTCCACCTGCCAGCCCAGCCTCTGCACCCCACCCAAGGGCCGGCATTGGAACGCCCATTTCTGCCTCCATTGCAGAGAATGGGAACCTAGATTCGTAGCTGCTCACCCTGAGTCCAGTATCTGGCGTGGTTGGAAACCACAATGCAGAGAATGCAGCACGGTATGGGAAAAACACATCCAGAGAAACAGGACGGGGGGGGGGGGGGGAGGACCAGGGAGTAGGTCACAGCCTCTTGTGATCTGGAATTGAGACAGCTGGAAAACTGCCACTTAGCAAGACCAAAGAGGTCCAGGTAGTGGAGAGGAAACCTAAAAATGATGGAGAAATGGAAAGGCAACAGAGAAAAAAAGCAGTGCACAAAGCCCACCCCAGGAGTGCGGGGGGAGGGGTGTTGGGGCTGTACCAGAGAGAAGCAACAGCCCTGCAGGTCCAGCTGCAGAAGCCCAGGGTCAGCACAGAGGATTTAGCCCAAAAGAGACTCCTTTCCTAGGGTGGAAATGCCACCTGCTTAGTTAGCAGTGTGACCTTGTAGTCCAGAACAACACCTGATCAACTATGCTGAATGTCCAGGAAGATGATTCACTACTGATGAATAATTATCTACTGATTAATAAACTTAGTTAAATCAATCTGTCCATGGTTGAGTTTGGGGATGGTTGTCTGTCCTGAAAGATAGATCCCCGATATTGAGAGCCAAGGAAGATCATGCCCTAAGAGTAGGCTGTGGACACAACAATCTCTTACCTCCCAATGTTGGAAATGTAGGGAATGACAGCTCCCACTCCCATGCAACTAAAGAGAAGGCCCCCCAAATTCTTGCATGCTCTGAAGCTCTGTGGGAGCCCAGGAAACTGCAGGTCCAGATCTCATCCTGTTGACCTTGAAGTATGTGGCTCTGTACAATTCCAGATCAAGCTTTAATGATCTCACTTAATCCTCCCAGTCCCCAAGCATAAATAACATCATTTAGACTTGAACATTTGGTGACAAAAAGTCCCAGTGGAGTTCAGAAGTTGCTGCCTGTGCTGTGGAGTCCTATCCCGAATTCCCCACTTGTTTATTTTGGGTATTATTTAAATTTCCTTTGTACGTTTCCTACCCAAATTCTAAACATTGCCTTTGATCTTTAGGTTTTATTCAACTAGGTCCACTCCCTGAAATTCTAAGATATGTTTTGGCACAACACAAAAGGAACTGAACAGATTAAATATTTTTCTGATTCTTTTTTAAACTTTGAAGAAACACAAGTTAAAAGTTATTGTCAACGTCATGCAACTTAGGGAAGGGCAGCGGCTGTTTTTATAGGCACTTCAGAGGAACAATAGCCACTAATATCCGTAGGATAATATCACTGAGCCTCTTAGCTCGTGTTTCTTTTATCAAAATTGTTAGGCCAACATGTCTTTTAATGCTTTCTTTTTTAATTGCTGAAGAAAGCCTGAAGCATTCCAAGAAAGTCAGACTAAAACATAACAATAGAGCTGCGTCTGTTTGCAGAAGGAGCTCTTTCAGAGCCTGTGACTAACCCTTGGGGAATGCACCATCACCGCGTGAGTACGGATGGCAGTTTTGCCACAGCCTGTGGACTAATTTGTAATAAAGATATAATTTTTATCTGTCTTTTACCTCCCAATGTTGGAAATGTAAGTAGCAGTTTAATAAGCCAAAGTCCTTCACAGGAAAGAACTCTGAATTGCAAAGTCATTCCCGGGCCTGTCTTGCTGCTCTCAGCGGGGTTGTTTGCTGTTCAGCTTCGCCTGAGAAGGTTTGCCCGTGTGCACTCTGCACCCTGCACCCTGGGGACTGGAAGTGGCTGACCTCTTGCCAACGTCCCTTCTTCCCGGCCACCTTGGCAGGCATCATGGCTCTCTAATCTGGGCTTCCTGCTGCAGCCTGGGCTACAGTGTAAGCCGGGCGAGGATTCCGGAGCACCGGCCCTGCTTCGCAGTTGAGCTCTGTAAATCCATTTAGATATAAAAGCTACTCACCTCCAATACCCTGGGATGAAAACTTGAAACTCTGCTCAGGATCCATCACTAGCCTTCCTGCAGTTGCCGCCTGCGTCTAGAGCTCCATGCGGAATCCAGCCCAGGCGCTGAGGTCTAACACCCACCTGCTTTGCCTCCCTCCCCCTAGGATCCTGACCCTAGGCCCCCAGGCAGATGCCTGAGATTGCACTGGAAGGCCACCAGTTGCAGGGACTCCTCAGTCTTCTGTCTCCTTGCCCCTGACTGCTGAGCCCGGGCTCCTGGCTATAGCCCCTGCATTACCTGAGGCTGGAATCATACAAAGAGAAGAGGTTGAGTTTAGGGGTGCCCAACAGCCTGGGATCCACTCCAACAATGGACCACTAAACACCTCACTCTGCTGATCACCCTCAGCTCCACCGCCCAGTACATGCCCAGCACCAGAAGAGACTCTGGGACTCTGAGGAAAGAAACCCAGTGGCATCACTTTCCCTGTCAGTTCCCATGGGGCGGTGTTCACCATTCATGGGATAATTGTTCATTAAATTCTGTCTAGACAGCCATGTGGTGCCCTCCCCTTGCAGAATGTCCACCGCAGGTCATCCTTTGGCCTTATTTCAGTCCCTGGTGGCCACTGGACAGTTCTGCTTGGATACAAACCTGGCTGCTGTTACTTGATTACACTCAGAGGGCATGTTCAGATGCCAGTGCTGTATCTGAAATATCTAAGTGCCTGTTCAGCTTTCAAACTGGGATTTTAAAATCGGTGCCTGTGTTGCACAGAGGCTCCCAGGCTCTGCAAGGCCATCGCTGTGGTCACTGGGCTCAGACCCCAGCCGTGCCTCCCCCGATGTCCTGGCCCCGTGGGGAACTCGTTACTCCCCAGGAAGGCCAGGACCCCAGCAGGCAGGCCTGGAACAAGGGCGGGCTTGTCTGATGGTGCTGCTTCTCGCCGGGAGGTCGGGATGCCTATGTGATTCTGGCTTCTCTGACGAGCTCCTGTCACCCTCCTCCCTTGGCACGTGCCAACCAGTCCGCCACTACCAGTGCCTTCACAGGAAGCAGCACGTTGCAGTGAAAAGGCTCGGGCTCCCACGCACGGCAGGACCCGCACAGGCCAGCGCGGAGGGCAATGCATGCGTGGTTCCCATTGTCCTCGAGCTGACAGTGCAGGAACCTGTGACTGAAGACAGCAGACGAGTGAGAAGAAAGGAAGGGATTAAAGAGACGGGAAGGAAGGAGAAGGGCAGAGGGCTTGGGGTGCTCAGCGTGAAACGTGAGCCAGGACCCTGAACCGCATCCCCGTGAGAAGTGCCAGACAAAGCCGCGGGGTCCCCAGAGCTGCGGCATCACTATAGCCACATTAACCTTTTTGCAGATTTAAATTAACCGATTAAATTTTCTGGGTGTGCTTAGGACAACCTAAGATAATTTAGTTTTTCTATGCAAATAAATATCACAACTAATGACCTCCTTCCAGAAAGTCTTTGATTAACGCCACAGAGCTGTCTCCCTAAGTGTTTCACGTTTCCGCAGGATCCTGGAGGTGCCGCCTGCTCGTCAGTAGACATCGCTGTTCCAGCCACCTCCCATCAGCAGTGGTTTTAACTGAGTTTACTAAGGCAGCACATTATGCTGCTGTCCATCAGAGAGTGGGAGGCCAGGTCCAGTTTCCTAAGCAGCTGGCCACGGGACCACAAGATCTGGCACTGGGTGCCAGAACTCTGCATGCCTGCATCACTGACCATAGTATTCCTCTATGAGACTAACTAGTTTCCTTAACTTGGTTTCCCACCCATGGATTAACTTGTGACATTCAGTATGTGCTTAAAGTATGCGAGCCAGATACGCCACATCTTAGAAAAAGCAGAACTGTACAAGCGAAGCACAGCTCGGTGGCCCCGAAAGGTTAGAGGCCAGAGGATTGCTTCACCACCAAAGAGCGCCAGGGAGCTATTTTAAAGATCACTGGGTTTATTTGTGTCCCGATTGTTGTGGTGGTGATGGTTTCACACAGCTGAGTTAAAACTCATACACGCACACAAAGAAAACTTTATGACAAAAGAGAACGACATTTCCAGTGTGCGCTGTGATGGGGCTGGAGATGCAGGAGACCAGCAGATCTGCCACCGGGGGCCTTGGCCTAGAGACCCAGGCTCTGTGTGCCCTGGGGCACAAAGTGAGCCAGCCGGTCCTCTGCCTTCTGTCCTTCTCCCGTCACGGCCTCAAGATAAACCTCTTAGCTTTCCCAGCCACATCCCTGGTGTCAGAAACTTCCCGGGAAGACGGTTTCCCCTTCCAGGTCTTCAAGCCTGTCTTCTCCCAGGGCGTCTCCAGGATCCTGATGGACTTTGCTGGGGATGTCACCAGCTTTCCGTAGCCAGAACCATCAGGAAAAATGAGACCTCCACACTCACCCCCTCCTTACATTTCTTAAATATCTCAAGTTAGAACAGACAAGTGTCACTAATCCAAGAAGTCCCAAGAATGTTTTTTGATCAACTCATTGAAGGAGGAAGGGATGTTTCCTGGGATGCGTTATCTGCATAATTCTAATTTTATGTGTTACAGTTGTTGTTATCTCTTATAAGAGATATTTGTGCTATATTTATAAGAATTAAGGAGACAAACTAGACATACGCCTTCCAAGTGTTTGGCCATTATAATTAGTTTTGTGTTTTCATAAAACTAGTGGCTGAATGTGATCAGCATGGAAGGTATAATTTTTACAGATAAGGTAATTAATTGTGGGATAAACAGAAACAGAAATTAATTTTCACGGATGAATCTTATCATAAGTCCAGCTGGTAATATTTTTAGCAGAAAGCTGTAGTAGATATAAAGTCCCCTGGTGTTCTAGAAGGGTGACAAACTCCAGTTAATTAAATTTCCTGATAGGACTGCAGCCTTTATGAATTCCACAAATAGTGGCCTATAGAAAGAGATCCTCCAAAAATGAGGATGGTCAGAAAAAAAATAAGAGAAGTTTCTCTATCAGACACAGTTACATTAAAATGTAAACATACAGTTCTATTTGTGAGCATCGATCTAAACATCAGGTTATCTCCTTTAGGTAAAGTGTCACTAAGGGGGAAAATTTGAAAGCACTCTTTTTTTTTTTTTTTTTTTAAGAGACAAAACATGAGCAAATTTAGAAGAGATAACGTGGCAACTAAGCACTGTAGATCTGCAAAACTGAACAGCAGAAGACTGAAGAGCACAGGTCCAGGGAAGGCGTGTCCAGAGAGCTCCCCTGTGCGCGGTGCAGCGGTGCCTCCAGGGTCGGGGGCACCGTAGCCTGGCCACGAGCCCCGTGCTCCCATCAGACGCGGCCAGAAAACGCGGTGGAAGCGCAGCCCTTTTCAGATTTATTCCAGGGGGAGACGCGCTGCCTTGACCCCCTGGGCCCCTGCCCCGGTTTGGGGGCTTGCTCCCGTCCTCCTCCCAGTCCCGAAGCCGCTCTGCAGGCCTGAGCGTCTGCAGCTGCACGGCGGCTCCCCGCGCCCCCTACAGATCCGTGTTTTCCTCGGTGGATGCGCGGTGCGGGGTCCCGGGAGCTGCCTTTCCTCGGAAGGTCCTGGGCGGCAGCGTTCGCGGTGTCTTTTTTAATAACACCTCATAAAGCATTCATGACGGGGACTTCCAGAGCTGCTGCAGGAAGTGGCCACAGGGCCCAGGGACAGGCTGGGAGGCGAAAATGCGGCCTGGCAGGCGCACGGTCCTGAGTTCAAATCCTGTAGGAAGGAAGGAAGGAAGGAAGGAAGGAAGGAAGGAAGGAAGGAAGGAAGGAAGGAAGGAAGAGAGAGAGAGCAAGCCAGGAACAATGGGATAAGTGTATCTAAAGCATGGGAGAGTATTTCAGGGAAATTAAAGGCAACGTCTTTTCTGTAATTAATTTTTTAAGTTTAAACACTCATCGTGGAGGGTGCACAGTTTAAGCCCAGCACTTGGGAGGTTGAGGCAAGAGGACCACCCTGAGTTCAAGGCCAACCTGAACTAGTGTGGCCCTGTCTCAAGAAAGAGAGAGGGAAGCATCCAGCACTGTTCCCATCACCCTGTGGAGGTCCTTGACTGTTACCTCCTTTATATGCATCCAGACAAGAAATCAATGAAGCTGGAACCTTTTTGAGTAAAACAAGGCATTAAAGCAAATTAAAATGATCTAATGTTTTGAAATGTTGTTGACCAACAAATTTTCCATTGACCAATATATTTTGTGCTATATCATTGAGCTACATGGATAAATTTTAAATATTCTCTCAAATAGTAACATGCAAATGCTATGTTTTGAAAATACTTTTTTTTTTTTTTTTTTTTTTTTTTTTTGCCTTTTTTCCTTTTTATCAGTACCGGGGATCGAACTCATGACTGCCTGCTTGCAAGGCAGGCGCTTATGCCGCTGAGCTAAATCCCTAGCCCCCAAAATACATTTTTTAAAAACTGAAAAGAACATACATTTTGGACATTAAACACAATTTTTAAAACTCCTGTGAAGCATGTGAAATTAACAGGTAACAAAAGCAGACCAATTATCCTTATTTGAACCAGTTTTTTAAATAATATTTGTTTCTAAAATCATGTCCTGGTTTTCCCTGAAGAATTTCTCTGTATAACCTGATGTGTTATCATTATTTTTATAAAGTTGTCTACATCTTTCCAAATATTTTTAAGTTATTAGCATGCACAGTGAAATGTGTCCATTGGCGCTGAGATGCTTAGGAAACTCAGCGTGATTTCTACCAGAAAGGATATATTGTCAGTGATATTTTTTGTACTGAAATGTGTGAATATTTCAGCCCAAATATTTTCCTAGGTGCTGCCCTTTTAGTTCAAAGAGTATTTTTGAAAACATTTTAACAAATATTTTCATAAGAGAAATCTCATCAAACAAGTCATCTCTCTTTGGGATTCTTTTGAATGCGTTGCCAAACTTGGATCTGTAAAATCATAGTCCCCGGTCCCACTCCGTCCTGGTGTGGATATAAACTTATCTGATCAAAAACAGACGCTCCATCCAAAGGTTTGTCTCATAATTCACGATATTTCAATATGCAGTTACAGAATTTCCCATTTAAACCTCATGTTCCACTTAAGATCATAAGTTAATTCATTCTGTTCTGTCACTGGAAAAAGTTAAATGTCACAAGGTTTTGCAACCACTGCAATTTACTGAAAGTGTCAAGTATGCCGACATTTTGGGAATTATGTCCATTTATTACACTGACTACATTTTTAACTTATTCTCAAAAAAAGAAATAAAAATTTAAGATTTGTTTAGGTAAGAGTTCTATGTAATTACAGTTAAGCTTCATTTGATCTACCATAAAAAGTAAACATTTTAAAAATTCTCTAGATAAAGGATCAGAACCAGAGGTTTTTGCGTGCTAACCAAGTGCTTTACTGCTAAACTCCACCCCGTGTGAATTTTAGCTCAGTAAGAACATTGCTTTCATCAGACCCTGCTCGGCCAAAATATGTAGGCATGTTACGATGGAAAACAGTGTGTTTAATCAGCAGTGTTGAGAGTTTTCAGTGGATTTCAGTAGCATTCCTGTAATATCAGAGAAGTTAAAGCTGCCAGAATGCACTTCCCAAGCTTCTCTTTAGCTTCTATGAGTTGGATGACATCAAACAAATAATTTTCAATTTGAAGATTCTGAGGGCACAGTATTATTTTAAAAATCAACACTGTCTAACTGACCACAGAGTTCGTCAAGAGCTGGCCCATGAACAAGCAGGATAGTGTCACAGGTGTGCAAGTATGCTGAATCACAAAATGCAAAACTGCCCCGGAAGAGGTGTTGTTCCACACAAAGTGCTGTCATTTCCAAGGGCCACGTGAACCAGGGCTGCAGACTCCCCTGGTCAGTGAGTCACAAGAGCTTCTTAAGGAAACCGCTAACTCACCGAGGCACAGGCTGATGCTTCTTTGGTGTGCGCGCTCAGATTTCTGCATTGCCAGTTATGTCACTATGCACAGGTCCCCAACTTTGCCTCTAGTTAGTAAATGTCTGCAGCTCCTTCTTAGGGGTCGTCCTTGGGAATCAGGCTTTCATTGCTGCATTTTGATACATTTGTATCGTTTAAATTACAAAAACTTAAAAGTTCTACCAAATACAAAAACGTATGTGTAAGTGTACACTCATAACTGACCCTAAACGACGATGCTGCTCCAGGAAGAGCAATCAGACCATGTAGACACCCTCTGCAGGGGTGGCTCAGGCCCTGCTGTGTAGGAATTCTCCATGCGTACCTGAAGTACACGCTCCACCTCCCTCTGACCCCACAGACCCCACGGACAAGTGGTGACTTTATCGATTTCACAGTCATGGCATGGGCCCCAGTACCATTGGCTGGTACCTTAAAAGCCGACCTAATGAGTGGACTCCTTAGTCTGTTATGTTGGTCAGGCCACTCCCTGACTCCTCAAGCACCAAGAGTGGGATGCGCTGGGTCCCAAACGGGCCAGGTGACTGCTGCCTCTCAGACTTAAGTAAAACGCACTTGATGATAACTTGGGTGACAGCACAAGTATTTTCGTGACACCATGGCAAAAGTACCAAATAGAGCACACAAACCCACCTCAGATTTACTGTACTGCAAAAATTCATAATATTCATTAAATCCTAGGACAAATGGCCAAGTGACAAGACACAAGGACCACATGGGAACTAGAAGCTGACATGTGTCTTATACATGTCCTGGCAGACAAGGTTAGCAGTCCACAAGTGACCACCTCTCCATGGCACGCTCTCTAGCCCACAGAAGGAGCATTCTCATGCATACTTCAGAGATTAAGACTCCGCTTTGACAGGAAAAGATTTCTGGCCTCAGAGTTAAACAGATGGACAAGGTCATCCCCTGTGGTCATCCAAAAAATAACTGCTTTGAAATTTAAAAAGTTCCTCCCCATTGTCGATGTTAGAGAGGAGAAGAATATGACAGCCACTGAAGGTTCTGCCATGGAGTTGTGCTGAAGTACTTCGGAGGCTATGCCTTAGAAGAGATCTAGAACATTCTAAATGAACATATACATTCTTGCTTAAACGTTACCATCTATCAAATTTAAAAGGACTTATTTTATTAGAACAGATATTTGTCACAAAAAACTCCAAAGCTAATACATAATGTGAATTTATAAACCTTTGGCTCTCACCAATGATAAAACCTTTGACCTTGGATGTGATAGACTCTATGCTGAACTCTTGACTCACATTCCTTGGGTAGACAGAGATTCCATCCAGGCAACTAACAAACGTGGATAGATTGTTTTAAAATAGAAAGATAAAGTTACAAAATTCATGTGTTTATTTAATAACAATGTAATAAGCTCCCGTTCTGTACACAGCCTCTTTTAGGAGTTTCTGAGGAGTGAGATAGGACTGTTTCTCCGTGAGAGGTTTACGGTCACCCTGAGAATTTATAACAACACTTTAGGTCAGCCAGGACCCTGTTATCACATAAATTCCTTTGGTAGGCATCAAAATAAATGAGATCTACTGAGCTCCAAATATGAGCAGTAAACAGTCTGAAAGTGGATCTAAGAACAGCACCCCACTCACAACAGCATCAAATGGAATAAAAGATGTGGAGTCAATATGAAACCGAGTGATAACTTTGTCCATGGAAAGCTACAAAACTTTACCAGCTGAGGCAGACTTCAGGATCGTGTATTGCGAGACTCACCCTGGGTGAGAGTGTGGTTCTTCCCACACTGATCCATAAATTAAATGGGATTTTGATGCAACTTTATCAAAATTACACCAGCCTTTTCAATCAGACAACCGGATCCTAAAATCTATATGGGAACAGAAAACAGGAGAGCCAAACGGGTTTCAGAGAGGATGAAGTCCGAAGTCTTTTACTTTTCACTTTCAAAACTTAGCATAATGTGCAGTCATCCAGACAGTGTGATCTTGGCACGCAGAAAGACGTATAAATGAAGAAGCAAAATTAAGAGTCCAGAATTTGTTTTCAATCAAAGTTCCACAGCATCGTATTGGGGAAGGAGAGCTTGTTCCGGAACCGAGTTGAGTACCAGCATCCACACAGAGACTTGCACACCAATCTTCACGGCAAGGTTATTGTTAACAGCCAACAACTGGAAACAACTTAAATGTCCATCAGCCAGGGAACTGATAGGCAGACTGTATCCCCCACAATCTCATACACCAGGGTGTACCCCTACAATCTACACTCCTACAGTCTCATACACCAAGGTATTCCTTAGCAACAAATGTAGTACATGGCCAACATGTGCTACATCATGCATGAGCTCCAGGTCATCATGCAACATGAAAGAAATGAGACATAAAAGAACATGCATCATATGATGCCACTTATATGTGATTTCCAAGGTAAGGAAATTTACAAATCATGAACTGTATCAAAGATTGTCTGAGGGGCTGGGGATTTAGCTCATCGGCATAAGCACCTGCCTTGCAAGCACACGGTCATGAATTCGATCCCTGGTACGAATTAAAAAAAAAAAAGAAAAGAAAAGAAAAAAAGATTGTCTGAGGGTGATGGTGGAAAAGATGAACTCTAAGTGGGCATAAAGGGTCTTATTTAATAAAAAAGCTCTAAAGCTGGTTTATACTGATGGTTGCAGTATTTAAGAAAGTTATTAAGGATCTGAACTGTATACTTGGCATGGGTCAATCTCTGTCTAATATAAGGTTGGAAGTCTATCTCTAATCCATAGCCAGCTGAGAGGGACAGAAGTTGACAGAGT